ATTTTAAGGATGCAAGGCTAGTTCACCATTTAAAATTAATTAATGTAATCTACCATATTAAAACCACATGATCATATCAATTGATGCCAAAAAAGCATTTGATAAAATTCAATATTCATTCATAAAAATTCTTAGCACACTAGAAGGGATTTCCTCAATCTGATAAAGGGAATCTACAAAAAATTACAACTAACACTATATCTAATGGTAAAACACTGAATGCCGCTCCCACTAAGATCAGACCAAAGCAACGATGTCCATTTTCACCACTCTATTCAACACCATACAGGAAGTCCTAGCCAGTGTAATAATAAAGGGAAAAGAAATATAAGGCATACAGATTAGAAAGGAATAAAATGAGCTCTTCTCATAGGTGACATTATTATATAGAAAATCCCAAACTATCTACAAAGATTTCTTAGAATAGGGGTGCCTGGCTGGCTTTGTTGGTGGAGCATGCAACTCTCGGTCTCAGGATTGTGAGTTTGAGCCCTATGTTGGGTGTGGAGATTACTGAAAAATAAAAAAAATCTTAAAAAAAATCTCTTAGAATAAATGAGTTTAGCAAGGTTGCAGGATATAAGGTTAACACACAGAAAATCAATTTCGTTTCTGTATATTAGGAAATAAATTGGAAATTAAAATAAAAAACCAGGATGATTCATAATGGCACCAAAAATGTGAAATACTTAGGCATAAATCTAACAAAATATGTGGAGGATTATGCATGCTAAACACTATGCATTGATGAAAGAAAAATTTAAGGACTTAAATAAGTGGATAAATAAATACTGCTGTTCATTGATTAGAAGACTCAATATTAAGCTGTCAATTCTTCCTAAATTTATCTATAGTTTTAACCTGATCCTAATCAAAATCCAAGCACAATATTTTTGGATATTGAAAAAGTGATTCTGAAATCTTTATGGAAAAATAAGGACTAGAATATCCTAAACATTTTTTTAATCCTAAATATTTTTGAAAAGAGTAAGCAAAATTGGAGATCTCATTATTTCAAGACTTGCTAATCTCAAACTTATAAAAATTCAGGGGTGCCTGTCTGGTTCAGTCAGAAGAGGAAAAGACTCTTGATTTTGTGAGTTCAAGCCCCACGTTGGGTGTAGAGATTATGTAAATAAATAAACTTAAAAAAGAAAACTCAGTAATCAAGACAGAATAGAAACTTCAGTAATAGATTCAAATAAATATAGCCAGAAAGTTACAGTAGTCAAAACAGTGTGGTACTGCATAAAGACAGATGGATAGACCAATGGAATAGAATAGAGCCCAGACACAAACCCTTGTGTATATGGTCAAATGATTTTCAACAAGGTTCAAGATTATTCAATGGGGAAAGGACACTCTTTTCAACAAATGGTGCTAGCAAAACTGGATATCCATCCACATTTGAAAGAATGAAGTTGTACCCTTACCTAATGCCATATAAAAAATTAACTGGATCAAAGAAATAAGAGCTAAAACTATAAAACTCTCAGAAGAAAGCACAGAGGAAAAGCCTTGTGACACTGGATTTGGCAATGATTTCCTAGATATGACACCAAAGGTACAGACAACAAAAGAAAAAATAGACAAATTGGACTTAAAATTGAAAATTTTTGTGCATTGTAGGACAATATGAAGAGTAAAAAACTCATAGGATGGAGGAAAGTATTTGGAAATTACATATCTGATAAGGTCAATATCCAATATCTACAACTCAACAAGAACAAAAACCAAACAACCTGATTAAAACAGGGGCAAAGAACTTGAACAGACAATTCTCCAAAGAAGATAAACAAATGGCTAAAAAGCCACGAAAAGATGCTCATGATTAGTCAGTAGAGAAGTGCAAGTCAAAACCACAGTGAGACACCACTTCACACCCATGAGGATGGCTATTAGCAACAACGAACAAACAAACAAAACAGAAGACAAACGTTGGTAAGGATGTGGAGAAAGTGGAACTCTTGTACCTTGATAGTTGAATAGTGAAATTGTGCAGTTGCTGTGGAAAGTGTTACGGCAGTTCCTCAGGAAATTAAACCTAGAATTCCCACACAATCGAGCAATTCCACTTCTGGGCATACACTCCCAAAGAACTGAGAGTAGGAGAAAAGATATTTGTACTCCTGTTCCTAGCGACGTACTTGCAACAGCCAAAAGGTGGAAACGACTCAAATGTCCAATGATGGATAAATGAATTAATGAAATGTGGTATATACATGCAATGAAGTAATAGCCTTAAAAAGGAAGGAAATTCTGGCACATGCTACAACATGAATGAAACTTGAAGACATTCTCAGTGAAATAAGCTAGACTCAAAAGGACAAATTGTATGATTTCACTTATATGGTATACCTAGAATAGTCAGAAACACAGAGACAAAAAGTTGGACCAGTGGTTACTAGGGGCTGGAAGGAGAATGGAGAATTATTGTTTAAAAAGTACAGACATTCAGTATGGGATGATGAAAGACTTCTGAAGACGGATGGTGGTGATGGTTGTACAACGTGCGAACGTATGTAATGCCACTGAATGGTACCTTTAAAAATGGTTAAAAGAGTACATTTTATGTTATGTATGTTTTACCACAATTTTTCTTAAAAGGAAAAAATCTGGTTATCAATAACATAGAGCTTATGATGACAGCTATGAAATTGTAATTTGCTACCTCCTTTAATTTTCATCACACTTTATATGGGAAGTTCAAGTTCTACATGGAATTGTGGTTTCTCTCTTTCTGGACATTAATTCCTCCTCTCTGCACATTTCCCCTCCCCTCCTCTCCTGCTCTTTCTTAAGCCCTTGACTTCATAGGGTGGGGATACCACAAAGGAGCTAAGTTTTTAAAAGAAGACTTCCTGAATTCTAAAGTTTGTTGTACTTTTAAAATGCTAAAATGTTTTCCTTTAATCCCAAATTATTCAATTTTTGATTCAGTCATGACTTTAAGTTTTTTCTCTTTAATCGGCTAACAGTATATTATAGGAATCGGTTTTCTGGTAAACCATGCTTGCATTCCTAGGATCACCTTACCTGATTATATTATATACTGAGTTTGACTTGCTATTTAGGATTCTTGTATCTGTATTCACTTCTGCTTTTCCTACGCGATCCTGTGAGGTTTTTGGAAGGGCCTGAAATTTTACCCAATTTAGAAGCTGCAAGTTAGCCTGTTACGTTTCATGGATAATGGCTGAGGACATGAGGCTCCTGGGATATGAAGGACTTGATTGCTCAGGCTACAGCAAGGAGCATGAGCAGCATGTGCATAGTACCTCTGCACCCTAATCCCACGGTAGCAAAGTGAAAGGTCTCAGGTGCGTGCTGCACATGCTGCGAATTTGTGCAGCAGCGGAGCTTGGGGAATTCGCCTCTTACACAAGGCCTCGTATTTGTCACAGACCTCATCCTTCAAGGTTGTTGACTAATAAATGGCCTGAGCAAAGAGTGGTCAGGGCCCTCCACTGTTGACATAGCGAGCAAGAATGTATAGGGAGTCTTAGGGTCGGAGGTAGATTGCCTTTCCCAGCATGGTTTTGTTTCAAGATTACACTACCCTCAATTAACATGATGAACATTCTTTTTTTCTAATCCCAGAAACTATTTAAATAAGCTAGGTATTTATGTGCTGCTTGGTTTTGGTAAAACACAGCAAACAGTGCCTTGTTTGGGAAGAGAATGGGAAGAATTTTGATGTGATTATTTTAACAGTAATTGACTTTCTATTTTTTCTTAGTAAATATATTTTTCAGAATATTAATCCACACAGTTCTCAAGTATACATCATCTACTCTATCTCTAGGTCTTTTTAAGATTTTATTTATTTGAGAAAAAGCACGAGCGGTGGGAGAGGGCAGGGCAGAGGGAGGAGTGGGGGAAGCAGAGTCCCCACTGAAGGGAGCCCGATGTAGGTCTCCTTCCCAGAACTCTGGGATCTTTACCTGAGCCCAAGGCAGACGCCTAACCGACTGAGCCACCAAGGCGCCCCTCTATCTATAGGTTTTTTTCTTCCAAGTTATTAGTTGTGCATTTTTTCTATCAGTCTTTTAAGTTTTCTTCCCCCTCCTAGAGATCAGCTTTTGGTTCATATTCTGCAGCTCCTGCACTTTCTCCTACTAATCTCTAGTCTCTCCCTATATAAAGCCATGTAAACTAACTACTTAAATCTTCAATGTGTCCACTATGGAGTTCAGCCTGGAGTGGGAACTATCTTTCCAGTTCATTCTGTTTTGTGGGTTGGTCCAGCACATCTTCCACCTTCAGAATCTGTGAGAAGTCAAGTCTGTGCTCCCCAAACTCAAGGAACATTTCAGCTCTTCCAGAGCTTCCTCATCTTGCACTGATCTAGCAGCAGTAAGGTTGGTCTGTGGGCAGAATTCTGAAGCAGAGTCATCGTTCATCTGGAGATGCGTCAGGTCATCCTTTGAGGCACCCTCAATCCAAGTCATTCTCTTGTTACCCATATCCATCCCTTTCACTTGGCTTGGGGAATAGAAGTGCTGGTCCAGTTGACTCTCGGTAGGCCCTCAGTGGGGTCTAGGGTCTTGTCCATTTTATTTTTTAAATTCTCTTTAGAATATAGGGTATCAATGCTTCTTCTCAAGTTTTAAGGTTGTTATAAAAGAACAACTAGGGGCAGCTTGGAACAAACTGTGGATTAATGTTTTTTGAAGTGTCTTTGTGGTAAAGAATTTAAAACCGAGTAAGCCCACCCAATAATACAGGTGAATTAGTAAGTATACTATAATCTGGATGGTACTTAAGAAAATCAGACATCTCAAATTCAGAGACAGAAAGTAGAGTGGTGGTTACAAGGGGCTGTGGGAGGAGGAAATGAGGAGTCATTGTTTAATGGGTATAGAGATCCAGTTCCGCAAGATGAAAAAGCTCTGGAGATCCATGGCACAACAATGTGAATATACTTAAAACTAATAAGCTGTATGCTTAACTAGTTATGTAAAAAAAAAAAAAAAGAAAAGAAAAGAAAATCGGATATCTGATATCAAGCTGACATGGGAAATTTATTTTGTAGAAAAGCAACATCTAGAGAATGCCACAGACAGCCCTAGTATGTCTAAAGTACTACATATAAATGATAATTGCTCATAACGACAACACTGAAGCACTGAAAGATACCAAAGTATTTTCTGAATCCAAGGAGCCAAATTTTACTCAGTATGGTTTTCATGTCCTTGCCTATCTCAAAGCTCTAATATGTTGACATTTGGTAAACCAGATAACCAGAACATTCAACACCCAAGTTTTCTGGCCATACATAGACTTACTCATACTCATCTGGTAAAACTCCACACAAATATTTTAACATTCCAATTTCTTGGTTAAGCTATATATTGCTTGAATTCATTAAATATACTTAGACTTCTCTATTATACAAAGTTAAATGTACAACTAAATTAGTAAAAAGTGCTCACTGTGGTTTATTCTACTCTGACAAAAATGTTTTGTGAAGGTACTCTATACTAAAATTGCCTTTTTAATTTAAATTTTTTCTTCTGTTTTGTAACCAGTTTTGTGACTTTTTTTTTTGGTAAGAAATCTGTGCCTTCTTAATTATTACAGATCCTTCTTTTTTTCTCTTTATTTCTTAGCTAAACTTCAGTATGAGCTTTATTGGTATCTCAGGCTTTGTGTGTATCCCTACTCCTAAATGCTAACCGTTCTTCAGAGGCCTGGAATCCAGCATGGGGGGCTTGCTGTGTTAAATTAGTTCTAGAAAAAGCATTAAAGACATTTTTCCTGAAATATACAGAATATGTCATGCCAAATCTCTTGTTTATACAATAAACTGGTAAAATTGGTAAACTGCACATATAGCTCATATTCCAAAATAGAATAACTTAAATATTAAAATGTACCTTTGTGTTACCACCATAACTGACCTTATGAGCATAACAAATGGAACTATTCAATAAAAAAAAAATCACAAAATCCACTAACCGTAAAGGCTGCATATCACAGCATATGAACTCTCATCTTCCTATGACCTATTCATAACTACAGACAGCAATACTTTTTTAAGCTATTCTAGCATTTATGCCCTAATTAGAAATTTATACGAAACACAATTTTATGTTCAAATATGGAAATAAGCAACATAATTCCAAAACCCAAAAGTATCCCAGCATTCTGTAAAAAGAAATATCCCCAGCGGCTACATCCATGGTCACTAGCATCATTGTGCAGCATCTCAGGTACCTTAAAGAAAAAATAAGAGCAATGTTTAAGTTTTCAGAACCACAGATTAGTTTTTAGAATAATTTATAGGGCAGTAATATTAGCTTTATAGGTAGCTGGATATACTGAGCCAACTCCTTAAAACAGGACCATATACACACTGACTCTAGCTAATAATGTCACACAGCATTTCCCAGCAGTTTAATTCACAATGATTATTCGGTTTGCTCCACTATGAAACGAAGAGCTATACTGATTACTCTGCTTTAGTTACTGCCTGTAGCTGAACCAAACATAACATGTGGCTTACCTAAGTTCGGAGATATGGAAATTCACATATAAAATAAAATTTTAGCAATCCGACTGGTTGGGATTGTTATGAGGACTTTGGTGACAAAAAGAAGCAACTCCTTTGTCCATTAATAAGGAAATTATGAGCATTCTGAAGTATACACAGTATGCCAACAACATGTGGCTTGTGCTGGGTTTCCAACAAATCAATGCACAGTTGCATGCCTGATTACTGAGCGTCTACTCTCAAAACGACACATCAGAAAGGGGTAGATATTTCTGTGTATCTGTAATTAGGCAGGATAAGGTGTGCTTGTGATCAACAATCCAAAAAGATAAAACTCTAAAGAACCTGTATTTTCTATGCTATCTTATAAAGTATAGACTCACTTATTACTGCATTTACTCTAAAGCCTTTTAAAAATTTATTTATTTATTTATTTATTTAAAAAGTAAGCTCTATGCCCAACGTGGGGCTTGAACTCACAACCCTGAGATCAATAGTCACATGCTCTACTGACTGAGCCAGCCAGGCACCCCCTAAACTAAAGCCTTTTAGAAATGAGGTTTCATGGGGGTGCCTGGGTGGCTCAGTTGGTTAATCATCCGACTCTTGGTTTTGGCTAAGGTTGTGATCTCAGGGTCCTGGGATTGAGCCCCATGTTGGCTCGGAATCTGCTTGAGATTCTCTCTCTCCTTCTGCTCCTCCCCCCACCCTGGGACTCTCTGTCTCAAATAAATAAATCTTTTTTTTTTTTTTAAGAGGTTTCACTGAACATTTTCTTTATTTTATTGTTAGTCAACACTGTAATTAGACTTCTTAAAAACTTACCATATCAACCAGAGCAACATACATGAATAAGCCAGCAGTAAGAGCAAATATCCACATAGAAACATTTTCAGCATAATGACCAATGAAGATTCCCGTTGCCATTCCAAGATAAGCCAGCATGGCTGACAAAGCGTTATAAAGAACAGCCTGCTTAACAGTCATGCCAGCCTTTAGTAAAACAGCAAAGTCACCTTTAACAGAAAACAAAAAAGGGGACAAAGTAATGAAAGAAATCACTTTTCAGACATATACCTAAGAAGCTTCTCAATTTAGGAAATTCTCTCATTTTTTTGAAGGAAAAAGAAAGCAGCAAAGAATTTCCAGGGGTAACAGTGTTAGTGTAAATCACCCTAATAGCTCTATAAATTAAGGTATTTTTTTATCCAAAGTTTTTCTTAAGGCTTCCACACTGTCAGTGAATGATAAATGCCATTAACTTAAACTTGTGCTCTTGCATGGTCTTCAACAAGCTTGTAACTGGGCACAAAGAAGAGACTGGAGAACACACATAAAATGATCATCAAATGATAAAGGCAATTTGTAATTAAGAGCTAAAGAGTCTAAGGTTCTAGTTATAAAAGGATAAAAAGAGAAATTAAGATCGGAATAGCTAAGGGAGGCATCATGGAATATGAAGGATCTAGAATGTGGAACATAAACCAGATGCTGAGGATTATAAGCATCCAGCAGGCAGATGGGAGGCCTTTTGAATGGCAGAACACATGCCAAGGAACAAAATTGAAAATGGCATCACAGGTATGTTGCAAATATCAATCTATAAGAAGAAAAACAAGGACATGAACTGGGATCCAGAACAACTCTAGGAAGGTTTTTTAAATCCTGGTGACAGAGGAGAAAAATATTCAAGGCACAATTCATCAACTTCCCTTTTCTTTAGCTCCAATGAGAGTCTCTTTGCCAATTTCTTTCTGTTAATGGAAGATGATTTCTTTGAATCCCGTGGTCTTATTCATATTATAGGTATGAAGATAATGATCACTGATGTCACCAGTATGCTGGTATAAGAAGGCATTTGGTAGGGTAATAGGACAAGAGAGGCGGCCCAGGTGTCTCTCTGGCAATCCCACACAGGCAATTGTGTAATCATACTCACAGGGTCAGAGTTCTGGCTGGAAACAAACTTACACTCAGTCAGAAAAGAAAGCTAGCTAGGTTAGTAGAAGGCAGGAAAGTTACAAGGAAGCTTGCTGGAACTATCAATAGCAAATGCCAGTGACACTAGGATACTTCATCCCCCTGGAAAATACTGTTTATGTGGTTCTCTTACCTAATTCATGAGGCAACTCGTGACAAAACACAGCAACAGAAGTACTTAAACCACTCGACAAACCTTCAGTAAAAGCAGCGCCTGGGTAAAAATCAGAGAAAGTTTGGCTACATTTTTAAAAAATGGCTTTTTTTAAAAAATGGCGCTTTTTAAAAAAAATCTTATCAGCATACAAAATGAGGTAAAAGAAGTAAACTATATCCTGGTCATGAATTAACAGAACTTTCCCAGCTGCACTCTGCATCTTTACAAGTAGTTTTAGATTACATTCAATTAGGTTTAAATTTCCCAGTGGAGCATAAGCAGGTACAACCGAGAAGGGAAAGTTCCACTATGTTTCAGAGTGATTAGAGGATCTTAGCACAGATCTGAGAAGTAACTGTTATCACATAGAACATTTATGTAAAAAATAAACTGACTTAAAAGGTTTAGAAGAAAACGCAGCAGTCCAAGAGTACAACTACGTACGTTTCACTGGCCTCAGAAGAATTCACTAAGTAATTAGATTTGTTTACATTCATTCTTTCACTGTCTAATAAGGAAAGTCCAAGACAAACAGCTCCCCCCATTTTAAAAGCTAACACTATGTACGACGGATCGCTTATAAAGTGTGACCGAACATGTGCATGTCCTCCTTTGTTGCTTCTGCTGTGCACAGTACGTAGAGGAGGAAGCGCACCAGGTTTCCAGGGAGCCAAGGCCTGGGCTCTTCTCCGCCTGATTATAGAACAGTACTGCCTCCTTGGGCAAGTGGTTCGCCTTGCCAGGCCTCCACTGCCTAACTTGTAATGATTTCCACTGCTCCTTCCAACCAAGTTACTATAAATTTTAAGTGTTCTGTTATCTCTCGATCATGACAGAACAATTTAATAGCAAAAACTCTCTAAATTTTTTGGTAACTGAACTTATCAGATATGCCAAGATTCCTTCAGTATAAAAGATGATGAAAAAAAGTGTTTGTAACTTAATATTGTTTATATGGCAGATAAGGGAACTCTAATGTAAAAACAACAACAACAAAAAAACGAAAACACATGCTCCATTCCCCGTTAGAGTTTGATTTTAAGACTCTACAAATTAAAACAACTTTTGAGAGTTACCACTTAGGTAATGGGGTAGGCAGTTTGTAGCACTTAATCTTATGTAACATTCATTAAGTACTTCATTGTCGAGGTAGCTACAGAAGAAATAACATTTTGATAACCTTAGAAGTTATTAGCTTTATCAAAATCACCCTATTCTTAGTTAAGAGGGGACTGGTGGTTTAACGTGACATTTTCAGAGTCAGCCAACAAGAAGCAAACACGTAGATGTGTACCAATTGCAAGGCCATCACTGAAATTGTGCAGGCCGTCGCCCATGATCACCATCCAGGCCAGTGTGGCGATGCCCGCGTCCTTCAGCTCCTCCCGAGAGTAGCGCTGACTGTGACTGTGGGGGTGGTGGTTTTGGTGGTGGTGGTGATGCAGAATATGATGGTAGTCATGATGGTGGTGAATGAGATCGTCTGACTGGCCAAGCGTATCATGAAAATGCGAATGGCATTTATTCTTGCACCCTCGGGGGACATATTCATTATAGACTTCTTGTGGATGAGCATGAGCTATCATGACCTCTTCTTCTTCCAAGATTGCTGGCTGTTGAGAATCAAAGTGGGAGGGCTCCTGGGAGTCTGTTCGTAAATAGCCTTCAGGTCCTGCAAACATAAAGGACCCTGGGTCAAAGCCAGAAGGCTTTGTTAATGTGCTTGGATACATCTCAACATTCCCACTGACAAAGTCAAAAGAGATCTTAGAGCATGGTAAGTCTCTCACATACAGAACTAAACAGAGTATTGCTGATGCAAAACATCAGGAGGTTTTAATGAATTTTAGAAATTAAATGGTCTCACATATTAAGAATGGATTTTAAACTTTAACCTCCAATAAGGTTAGCCCCCAGAGTCTCCCTTTATTTCCTCTGCCTTCTTACATTTTTTTCTTTTCAAGTTTTTATTTAAGTTCCATTTAGCTAACATGCAGTATAATATCTGCCTCCTTAGATTTTAAAAGATAACTTTTCCCTGATTATAAAAGCAGCACATGCTTACTTTAGAAAAACATTTAAGAAAAATACTGAAAACAAAAAACATGCATAATCCCGTTGTCCAACTTCTTTTTTGAGGGTAAAGTTCAAGGAAAAACAAGCATTTGAAATACAGTGATCACCAAGGACAATTTATTATCTACTACTTATGCAAAGAAAAGCAAATTGCAACAATAAAGTTTTGTTTTTCCCTTTGTCCTGTGCACTGATCACACTTTTCTCGGGCACATTCCTGACACTGTGGTCCAGTCCCAGGGCAGCCGTTCCCTCTCACTGTTAAGTATTTAACTGGACTCTGTTAGAAAAGTTGAAGAAAGAATACACACAAGAAGAGCAAGAACATTTTACTTATTTTTTAGAAAAAAAAGCAGGACAAAAAACAAAAGGTGGGCAGGAAAGCGTACAGATAGGCAGTAGCAACTAGGCAGTTTTTCTCCCTTGTTAGCTGGGAACTATCTCGTGAGCACTTACTCTGGCCAGGTACCCTGGGAGCATGACAAAGTCTCTAACTTCAACCAAGTTATGTTCTTGTGGGGCGACAGCCACATGTAATAAGGAAACACAAGTGTAAATAAGGTCATGTGAGGTACTGGAAAGCATGGGGAAAACCAGAAAAGGGTAATGAGAAGGACAGTAACTGGGAGACCTTTGTCTTTGGGTGATCAGGGAAGGCCTCTGAGCCCAAATGATGGGAGCAGGAATTTGTGTGAAGATCTGATAGGAGGCTTCCAAGCAGAGACATGCAAGGCTCGGAGATAAACCTGGTGTGCTCGCAGAATGAAAAGAAGGCCAGTGAGACTGGACATAATGAATAGTGGGAGAGAGTGGAGGGCAGGGTCGGACCATGAAGGTCATGGTGAGGAGTTTGATTTAAAATTTTAATCTTAACTCAATCCGTCCAATGCCAAGTTAATAGTCAAGCTACAGGAAAAATAGTAACTTTACAGTAGAGCATCATGTCAAGTGGCACATGACGCCACTGTAGAGGATACTATACCACATTGTGGTACTTCTGCCCCAAATGATCAATCTAGTCCTAAAAAAGATTAGAAACAGCCCAAATGAGGCGCAACTTGATCCTGGGCTATGCTCTGGACCAATTTTCTCTTTTGCTGGAGGGAAAATATAAAGGAATCATTAAGACAACTGGAAAAACATGAGTGAGGTCTAGACACTAGATAATGACATGGTATCAGCATTAATTTCCTGATTTCAATAACTGAACCCTGGTTATATAAGACAATGTCTTTTTTCTTAGGAAACATATACTGAGTATTTAGGGATAAAGAGACATCTCATCTGTAACTTACTTTCAAATGGTTTAGCAAAAAAGTGTGTGTATGTGTACTCAGAGAGAAACAGAATGATAAGGGAAGTAAAATAACTGGGGGTTGTATGAAAGATACACAAATTCTTTGTATTACTCTTTTTTTTTTTTAAGATTTTATTTATTTATTTGACACAGAGAGAGCAAGAGAGCACAAGCAGGGGGAGCAGTAGAGGGAGAGGGAGAAGCAGACTTCCTGCCGAGCAGGGAGCCTGATGCAGGGCTCGTTCCCAGGACCCTGGGATCATGACCTGAGCTGAAAGCAGATGCTTAAACGTCTGAGCCACCCTGGTACCCCTCTTTGTACTCTCTTGAAACTTTTCTGTATTCTGAATTCCTTCAAAATAAAAAATTAGAAAAAAATGTAAATATAATATAAACAACTTACTCACTGGCAATTAAAAAGAAAAGGCATTAAATATTTCAAAAGTAAAAAAAATAAAAAGAGGGACATGGTCCCCTCTCTCTCAGATAGTCCAAACTGCCTGCAAATCACAGAATAATAAACTCCCCCCAGCCCTCAGATTTGTTAAGACTTACGATCATCTGCGTCTGCTTTCTCCTCATTTGTTGAAAGTTGAGATTCATACTTGGACAGCTGCTTCTTAATCTCCACATCATCATCAGTTTCAGGTTTTTTCTGGTTCTAAAATGGCAAGGGAAAGCAACACTTTAAAACCATTGATGCGCTTATGTGTACAATTATAAACAAACAGTTATGCAAAAGACTCAGAGAAAGACAACAGAGTAAAGGACCTTTACTGGGATAAAATTCCTCCAAGGGCAGGCAGGGCCTGTAGTTAACTTACACAGCACATAGTTGTGTGTTTTAGGCATAACAACTGCTCAGGAAGGTGAAGCATCAAGGCTTCAGTAATATGAAATGTTGCAAAATCACATAATCATCTTTCTCAATGTCCCCTAGGTCATCTACTTTAAGTGTGCTCTGGGAACCTGTTAGAAATGAACAATCTTGGGCCACACCCCAGACCTAATGAATCAGCATAGGGATTTTTACTAGATGCCTGGATGATTCATACACATATTAAAATTGAACTCTGCCTCAGGTTATCAATTTAGAACCAACTGGAGACATTTTCTCCAGCATTTAGTGATCTGCTAACCAGCTGCTTGGTTTTCTCCATCCCTCTTTTGGACACCGAAACCCCATACTTCCCATACCTAAAACTATACTGTGACACTGATTAGGAGTTTGCTATTAAAACCAAAATACTTTTCCTATAATAAAACACCATTAACAAGCTTCCTCTTTTTAAACAAATCTCTGTTAGTTAGCCTCGAATTCATCACTAGGTTTTTAACTACCTCAATACCATGCTTGAGCTATTGTCCTTACCTCTGAGCCCAAGCATAAAGATCACCATTTGAACAATGGTACCTGTGTATGATTTATGTAAATCATACATTACTTACTTACGTAGAAGTAAACTTTACTTATATGCTTTTTTTATGTAGAAGAGAATACTCAAAATGATGAAAATTGTCACACAAATAATAGATTTCTTATTTGCAGTACTTTTGAATATGACTTAAATCACCACTGGAGCCGAGATTTCATTCTAGCTCTGATACCATGTAAAATATCCGTACATTCTTAGATTAAATCTAGAGTTCTTAAAGGCAAGCACACAGACACATCTTTATACCTACCCCTAGCTTAGTGCCTTCAACAGAGAAAGTACTTCAATATTTGTGACAATAACTGAATTCAGGATATTTTATATCACATCAGTTAACGCTTTCTTTCTTCTTGGGCAATGACCTAGAACTCACAGCTTAGCCAATTCTTTCATTCTATAAGTATTGGGGACCTATAATGTTCTCTATGCTGAGGGCTGGCAATACAACATAAAGCAAGATACACATGGTCTCCGTTTTCATGGAGTTTATCACCCACAGGGAGGGAGGCTTTACAGATATAACGATTAAACAGCTCGTTGATGGCAATTTTTGATATGTTTTACAAAGGAAAACCATATAGTGCTATAAGAGTGTATAACAAGATCTAACTAAGTCCCAGGGCAGGCTTCCTTGAGAAGGTGATCCTTATACCAAGACCTAAAGATAAGCAGGAGTTTGTGGGGGAAGGGTGGGCTGGGAATAGGGGTGGAGAGGTGGATTCCAGGTAGGGAGAACAGCATGCAGGAGGGCCCTAAAACAGGAAGGGGCCAACCCCATCCCAGCAATGAAAACAGCGCAAGGTGGTTGGGGCTTAGTAGGTCAGAGACAGAGGGGGCTAGAGGCTGGGTGGCAGAAGGAGACCCTGACAATGCAAACCAAGTTAAAAGTGTGGACTTTGTCCTACTAGTATCGAGAAGTCACTGAAGGAAGGATTTTTAATGGTGGTGTACAACTTCATCAGATTTCCATTGAAACAAATCACTTTGCTCTGCTCTGGGAGAAGAAAACAATAAAATACTGCAGACAGGCCAGTTAGGAAGTGGCTGCTCTCACCCAGGTGGGAGATAAACATGGCTTAGACTAGAATGATAGCAAGGAAGAGGGAGAGAAAGTGGAAAGGCTCTAGATATATGCACTAAAACTAGTTTGGATATGATAAGGGAGATGTCATAGATGACTTGCACGCTCCTAGTGTAAGCAATAACCTTCACTGGTAGAAAAAAGGTTTTGAGGCTGAACTTATTATAAAGGTCCAACTATCTATATCAAGTATGAGATATGACCCTAATTTGAATATAGATTTCAGATTGACATATATGGTATGATATATGGAATCTCCCAGGGATGCAGAATGGATATCTTAAGGAAAATCCTTAAGGCTGAAAATGTTCTCAAAACTCACCATATAATGAAGAGTTTTTGTTTTGTTTTGAGAGAAGAAATGTAATTTAAAACTGTTAAATGAGTAATGCTAAGATCTGGACACCTTTAATAAAAGATAAACTCAATATATTCTAAAAAGGAAGAGAACAAGTAACATTTACAAAACTCCTGTGGGAAGTCTGTGTAGAAATTATGCTTACTTGCCATTTAATGTTTCTTATACGTTCAACAAATGTTTGGTAACTATCATGTGCCAGATGCTATTCTAGGCATTGGAGATGTAGCAGAGGTCCTAGCTCTTAAGAAATTTTATTCCAGTATAAACTATTTTAGAAAAGAGATCATCAAACTTCTTTGACTATAAGGCAGAGTAAAACATGTAATATACCGTAATATTACTGCTGCCTTTAAAAACATTGGTCATGACAGAAGATTAATTTCACAACTCACTGAGTTAAAAATTGTTCTGTATTAAATCATAGAGACTACTTCTTAAGAGTCCCATGTGAAAGAGTACCAGATTAAAGAAAAGCTATCTATAGGTAAAATTTGAAAACTGAGTTGAAATTAGCATGCTAAAGAAATGATGGCATGTGAACTAGAGCCACAGTAAAACAAACAAACCTTCAAACCTCACCCCCACCAAAAGAGAATAAAAGATTTTTTTTTTTTTTACGGAAAGAATTCCAGGGAATGTAAACAAGTAGGATAACTCTCCAATCAGTCCAAGTGAAGCACCTGGGACGATGGTAACATGGAAGAGGGCTCTCTGGATTAAGAATGAATAAGCTATTCTCATTTCACTTCTTTCCTCTAACTTTAGGTCCAGTAAAGAGAAGGTTCACAATTTGTAACTTGAGGTCTTAGTGAAGGTCAAATCTCTAAGGGCAAATCTTCACAGGATGGAGGAGGCGGCAACTCTCCTGTTCACACACACACTTGTTTCCCACACGGCAAGAATCAACTACATTTGTTTTCAAACATCTTCATGCCAGTTAGGCTTGTTACTGTAATTGCACAATTTAATTACACACAACTCAAATTGTGAAATGATGGTGAGAATAGTTACTTCTATGAAAACTTAAGCTGAATGCTTTTGAAAGATTCAAAGGCAAGTTGTTAAAAAAAAAAAAAAAGACTATCAAGTTACGTAAAGCAACCACTGCATAAAATTTACAAAGCCTAGATTCTACTCTTGAATAGCCTTCCAAGTGTGTAACCTCTTGCTCAACTTGAGAGAAACCAAAATTGGAGACTGCAGATGAAGTAGCCTGGCTACAGAAAAAAAAGATCATACAGAGCTCTGACTCAAAGAAAATCTTGGTCAACATCAAATGACCAGAATATGAATGTACAAATGTTTTAAATTAAATTAAAATGTCTAAGATGTGTACATGTCCTCTTTAAGAGTTCCCATTAGGACAATCTTTTGACTGACATGCCTGGTCACATCAGTTTAAGAGGTGCCAGATAACCACAGGCGACTCATGGGGTGTTTTTACCAGAAATAAAGAGCCTATACTTCATACTATTGGCTGCCTACTATTTTCTGGCAGCAATTTGCAAATTTCACAAAACTGTGAAAGTCACAAACCCTCTGAAACACAACAGAATATTAAGCTACTGGATGAATAATTAAAATGAATCATAAGAATTAATCATAACTACCAATAAATACCGACAGTGTATCCATAATGTTTCTTTAAAAAACAAAACAAAACAAGACAAAACACATAGAGTGCCTGGGTGGCTCAGTTGGTTAAGCGTCCGACTCGATCTTAGCCCAGGTCTTAATTTCAGGTCGTGAGTTCAAGTCCCACGTCGGGCTCCATGATAGGGATGGAGCCTATTTAAGAAAAAACAAAAAACAAAAAACAAAACAAAAAACCCCACACAAACAAAAAAACACAACACTTTATTGACGTATGATTGACAATGAAAAAGTTGTACACATTTAATGTATATAAATCAATGAATTTGGGTATATATACCCAAGAAACCATCGCCACCATCAAGGCCGTAATCATGATGCTTTGGACCTTCAAGGCTTTGTTTGTGCCTTGTTTGGTTTTACACAAATGTTCATCCTTCACCATTCTTACCCTCTTAGGAGTTTGGAGGGAATACTGAAAATAGAGAACTCCAGGGTTATCGAGATGGAGAATAGCTTTCCATGAATGCCTCTGGAAACAAAAATTACCTCAGGGTACTGAAACCCTCTCAAATGAAGATCGTACCCGCTGGACAAGCTCAGCTAACAGTCTAGTTAGAATACTACTCACATAAGTCTCTGATGCATAGTAAATACACAGGACTTTTTCTTACCTTTTTCTTCTTATCTTTAAATTGCTTGATCAATGTGAGTACATGTTCAACAAGAAACATGAAATACAAGCCACCCAGAGCCGTCAGACCCTTCCATGTGGAATCAAAATAGGTACTTTCTTCTATGTTTTGAGAAGACAGATGACTGAAAAGTGGCCCTCTCTTCATTTCCATTGCAGATTCTTCATGGCTGTGACTATGGTGGTGACTTGCATGAGACTACAGGAGAAACAGTATGTATTTTATGAATTCATTAGTTTCACATGTCAGAAAAATTGGCTAAGATAATAAGGTCAAATATGAAACCATTCAGAATTAGGCAATTAATGGGATATGTGAGAACTGAGGGGGGAAGTTTAATACATTAAAATGACCCACAGGCTGCTAGCGATCTACAGCGTAATATATAATGTGCTAAGGCACTTAACGGTGTACATTGGTTTAGTGTGATGACAGATACCTTCTCTAACAACTCTCATATAGGTAGCGGGTATTTTCAATGTTTGACAAGATACCAGGGCCACAAATGACAGGGAACTCCCAGACTCAACAGGCATACAGGGTTTACTGTTTATACTCCAGGTAGAAAAAGCCCATACTAGTCCTGTCACTGCGCTTACAAGAAGCCTAGCGTGTGTCATGGGCCCTGGCAGGTACCCGAGATCAGGTGCACTGCCCCAGCAGTCTGCAGCAGGCATTAACATGAGGGCATGTCAGGGAACCGAGTGTGGAGCACAGCAAGAGTGGTGAGATGGGGGTGGTCCCAGGGTACACCCTACACACAGGCTGTGTGGTGCAGCGAGTATTCCTGAACATCTGCCACCTGGGGCCGAGGGAGCGTAGCACAGCAAAACAGTCTGGCACTATGTAGAGAGAGCTCTGGGAATGATTTCTTTTTCCCACTGACCTGTAAGCCTTTAAGGGAAACCTAAAAGATGCGATCCAAATACTTTAAGTTTTTAACAGAGCTATTAAATAAACTTTACTCAACTTATTTAAGAATTTACTTGTGTCAATGAGTATGAATCTCTAATTACACACATAAATTCAACTCTAAAGGAAAACTCATTTCTTGAGTACACAGAAAATCAGTTTTTATTTCTGCGGCAATTACATTAATGTAGGCAGATAATTTACATTGTTGCAATCTGTCACAGTAATAATATCTGAGCAGACTCTGTCTCCTTTCATTAACTGGGCCCCAAAAGTTAAATTAGTCGGTATTTAGTAAATTCCCTTAAAGAGAAAAGCAAAAAACAAACCACGAACATACATTAAGATCTAGTACAAAAATGCAGCTTTCAGTTACCAAATATATTTTAAAATCAACTTTTCTAAACCAAATTTCTAACCTTTTACGTATATCAATATAAAGAACTCTAGTGCAAACCAAAAATATATTAATTTTTTCACTGTTGAATAATGAAATATACTGATAGGACAAATGACTGTACTTACATGTGGAAGGAGGTGTAAAAAAGCATCGCCACTTAGTGTCCCAACAGCCAGTGCCACAAGGAAACTTAGGAGAAATTTGAAAAACACCCGATTCATGAGAGGCACTAAGATAACGCCGAGCAAAGACAGAAAACTGATGATGGAAATGGCTATAAAGCCACCAACCCAGGCTGTCAAATAAAACACAGCAAAGGAAAAATTATACAATCAAACTTTAAAAGAGTAGCATAAAGCAACTTGTAAAAGCCAGTTGCCTTCCTTAACCTAAAGAAATACAAACTCAGTAGAAGAGGACTGTGGAACTAGGGCAATACCCATTTGCTGGTACAAATGAATAATCTGACTGAACCCTCCTGGGAAAGAGGAGAAGTCTGGTGGAAAGTTCTTCAGATGGGGGTGGAAGGGAGAAAATGGTTACCAATGATGAATTCTAGATCATTTGGAAACTGAGCTTTTGGACTCCCATACACAGGTAAATTAGGGAAGAGAGGAAATAAAAGAAAGAGAAAAAAGGAACAAAAAAAAGGAAAGAATGAAAGAAACTGGGAATTCAATGCTTTCTTCAGTAAACAAAGCAATTATTTGTTTACCATAGTTTTTGAGCAACGCAGCTCGACACTGTATCAGAACTGATCTTGGTTTCATTTATTAATAAGAACCAGAATTAGGCTCCTATATAGCAGATATTAACTCTGACCTTCTGAAACAGTGTGACAACATAAAAAGCCCAAATTTTGGATGGCCCTGATTTCTTGTGGGATGACCTCAGTTATAAGCTGTCTTATTTATTTCTACTTATTATTATTTTTCTTAAGGCAAGGCTAACCAACCTCCTTTCTTCACATTCAAGGCTGAGAACAATTAAGATATTTGGGGGGCGCCTGGGTGGCTCAGTTGGTTAAGCGGCTGCCTTCGGCTCAGGTCATGATCCCAGGGTCCTGGGATCGAGTTCTGCATCAGGCTCCCTGCTCAGCGGAGAGCCTGCTTCTCCCTCTCCCTCTGCCTGCCTTTCTGCCTGCTTGTGCTCTCTCTCTCTCTGTCAAATAAATAAATAAAATCTTAAAAAAAGATATTTGGAACTATGCTGAAAAATGAATATTGATGTAAATACAAGGAAAAGTACAACATAAATGTATCTACTTGAAATTATTTTTATGTAAGAAAGGCAACTCTACCTATTTGTAAAGAATAGGTCTTTGGAGGGATTTCAGCTTTCTTTTCACTCGTTGTATGAATCAGACATGATCTAGCGTCAATTTGATTGATGATGGCTGGGCAGAGATAGTTGAACTCCGTTGCATTCAGCAGAACCTGGATGCCCATGCCATGAGATGTAAGCAACTTTGACGCATTGAAACACTGCAGGAAACAAAACAGTGAAAATCACCAAAAAGCATTCCCATTAGATAATCCAAAAAAGTTGTCTGATGATACAACACCCTTTCCATACTGAAGCTCCTTATTTTTTCAAGTTAATGCATTAAAACCAACTTTTGTCTTGAGTACTTTGGAACTTGCCTCAAGCTCCCTGGAGATACTATGTCACAATGGGGATATCCCACCTCTTCTGCCTCCTTCTTCTTGGGAGAAGCAGGTAAATCACTAGTCATCTAGAGAGAAAGCCCCGAGTGGAACAACCTTGAGGATAAATGGACATTCACAAGCCTGTTAACTCATTGTATAAACCTATTAAGGAAATGAGCTTTAATTTTGAGATGGAGTTCATTAGAGATTGAGAAATACGTTGCTTTAGTACTAATGCTACCCTACGTGGCCTAAACAAGCCCAAGACACGTCACTCTTCCAGCAATGACTGTATTTGCAAAACTTAGCTCAGTTCTGTCTATACACCTGGCAAAAGCTCTACAACGAGAGAATATTAAATTATGTAAATTACTCTTGCGGAGGGCAAGGCTGGTTAATAAAACAAACTTGTACCAGCAGGCAGCTGTTTCAACAGCTTAATTAGATGACAAGCTTAGTTTGAAGAGAATCCCCTCTAGGTAATCTAAGCTCCCCTTCTCACACACAAAAAATTGGCAGTAGCACCTGCTTCTCATCTTCTGTAAAGTTACTTTAAATTCCCATAGTTCTTGGCCAATACTACTCAGGCCAAATTTTATTACCGGTGTCACTATGGGAATGACCATTAGGATTATTCCGGAATTGGTACAGTCATAGGATGACTTGAACGAAGTACTCTTTAAGTTTTGCTTATTAATGCATACTAACTATAATTTCTTGCTCTTGACATCTCTCAGCCAAGAAAAACTGTGTACAGTCTGGAAGTCTAGACTAGGAAAACACGTGACTTCAGAACCTCACTTCCCAGACTTTTCAAGTATCCAGCACATGGTTCTTGGTAGCCGCTCCAGTTTCAGTACTCCCCAAGTCATTGAGAGCCCTCTTTCAAGAAGGTAACACTATTGTTCTCCATGCCTTCTTTTGTGCCTTCAACCACACCTTTCCCTAAAACATGGATTCTAACTCCTGCTTTTTCGACCTCCCATTTTCTACTTTTCATTAACAATATTTACCTTCTAAAACTTTATCCAAAAATACCCTTGATTACTGCTTTCCATACTCATTTTAAATTCCATATTAGAAAATAGTTTTAGCTACCAGCACCATTCTTACCAAAAAAATTATCCTCCAAGTTTTCTATCAGGCATGTTTACAACACAGTAGAGACAAGGGCATTTGGGCCAAGTGCCTGGATGAGAAAGTAGAAATTCCCTTTTCAATAACATCATTTTATTTTTACTTTATACTCCTTGCAACTAGAGATAGAATGGCAATGACAGGACAAACAAGCAGGCATAATGAAAAACATTCATCTTACCTCCTGAGTATTTTCATTTGCGTTTCTGGAATACATAAAGCCTTTTCTGGGCTCACTCACAGATTCATTTGTTTTCCTACTGGCCAGCCGGCTCACCCGGCTTTTTTCTGTGATACTTGGTGGAGTGGAACTGCTCACGTCTTTGGGGAAAAATTTTCCAGGTTTTGGAGTGTCTATTGTCTCTAGAAAGTGAGTTCCTTCAGAGACAGCATTATACACAGTTGAGGTCACTTCACTAGCAGTAACATCATCCTTGATTAAAACATTCCTTCTACCATTGGCACGTTCTGATCGGTGAGATCCTTTCCCCTGGCTGTTTCTGGGATCTTTACCCGAACTATCAGACTCATGGTCTGGGCAAAGACCTTTCCGATTATTTTTACTGGAAGCAGCATGATTACGGTGAGAGTGGTGATCATGGTCAGAGTGATGGTCGTGGTCATGGTGTATATGGATTTTTTTAACCTTATCTATGCCTATATTCTGAAGCAATTTTCTGAACCCTTCAACTGACAAGGAATTATTTTCTCCATAGCGATGGAAAAGCTGCTGTAGATGATGTCGCTGTGTGGCAACTGCCAAGTCAACATTAATGCCAGATTCCCAATTCGTAATAATTTTCTCAGTGGTCTGAGCGAAAGCAGTTGCCGGTTCTAGTTCATGAAGGGGATTTGTGACTGACAGTGTGAAGGTCAGAATCAAGATTACAGATAAATTCCTCGCCATTGCACCTTCCTAGAGAAGACAGAAAAAAAAAATCTTGCCTTCACTTTTAAAACAATTTAAAACTTAAGAAATCTCATGCTGAAAATTGCTATCAAATAATCAAGGTTTACAGAGCATCATTTAGTGTGACTGGTTTAATGCTACATACTGTGAAAATATAAAGAACTACATATATACATAGAGAAAATATGAAGAATCCTAGGCTCTACCCTTGTATTGCTAAAACACTTGAAACAACTGGAGAACAAATGCGTGCTGAGACCATAATTAGCACTGCAAAAGCAATAGTAATTCAGAAACTGGAGATTCATGTGGTCACAGACATACTTGGCAACTTATTACTGTTTCTGTGGACCTGCAAAAGGGATCACCGGGTAAGAACAATGATTCAAAACAAAACCCAACTACCCCCACCATCATTATTTTATAGAATAATCTTTTAACATTAAAAAAACTAGAAATGGCAATCTCAGGATAATTCACATTTAAATCTTTTTTTAAATATATACAAATCAACTTAAGGCTTCTTTCCCCGAATCCCACTCCTCAAAGGTACCTAGTTTTGCCAGTTTCTTGTATTATCCCTTAGGATAGTTTCTATGCATACTCAAATAGATGTGTCCTTTTTCCTTTACACAAACGGGATCCTTTTTTACTCAACAAATGACACCTTTCTGTGTTGGTACATATAGATTGATCTCATTCTCTTGAATGCCTGCAAAATAACACCTCTTTAAGTAAATTAAACTTCATAAAAAAAGTATCATTCTTATGTGGCTATAAAACAGTGAAAATTTTATCACAGACTATCATCACTCATCCACACAATAGTATCTGAAACCAAAGGCCTACATTCCACAGAGAAGAATGAAGTTGAGACTTGCGGCACCTGGCTGGCTCAGTCAGTGGAGCCTGCGGCTCTTGAACTTGTGGTTGTAGGTTTGAGCCCCATGCTGGGTGTAGAGATTACTTAAAAATAAAATCTTTAAAAAAGTAAAAAATAAAAAATATAAAGAGACCATTTTATATATATAAATCAAGTTGAGCCTTAAAAAGCAGAACTCAGTTAAAGGGAAGGTATAGTCCAGAGAATCAGACGTACTGATATCTCAGGATGCGGCAGAGGTCCACCAGCAGTGATGGATGGTGATTGTGACCAAATTCATCTGCCATCAGCCAAAGAAGCTAGCGGTCGGGTTCCGGAGCTAGAGAGCAAGGAGGGGCAACCTAGTTCTACCACTTTCAGCTGTTTCCTGCACCAGGAAAAGCTGGTAATGATACATACTTGACGGATGACTGAAGAAACCATATGAACGAATGTCTGTGCAGGTGCTCCATAACTGTCATTTGTTGCACACTGCTGCTTATCATACTGGAAGCAGTGGAAAATGGAAGTATGTAACTACCGTACGGCTAGACTCCTGAAAGAAGAATCGTCAGAGCCTGAGGTTTTCGGAATTCAGTTAATACGCAAAAGAGAAAGATTAAGAAATCATTCGCAGGAGAGGCAAGGAGCGGGGTGGGTGGGGACACGCACAGACGGATGGCTCAGTGGGCAGCTCCATGCCTTTCTCCAGGGAGGATGCTTAGACCGGCCGGCGGATCTTCCCTGCAAACCAGCATGTGTACAAGAAAAAAGAAAGCCGAAGGACAAGGGCCTGGAAAAAAAGGGCGAGTGGAGAAAATGGGAAAAGAGGACACAAAACTGCTTCCAAAAGCTTTTTATTTTTAAACACGACAGTACCTTCTTCGAATATGAGATGAACAGGACAGACCGTTTCCTTCTAAAGTCCTTCGCTGCACCCCGAAGCCTAACTATGCACCCGAAACTGGGAAAGTCCGGCCTCCACGGCCCGCGAGGCTCCCACTATCCGCTGTCCACTCCCGGACCCGCGGGACTCACCTCTCCGCGGCCTCGCTGTCCCCGCGCGCCGGCTCAGCTCCCCGCGGGCGGTCCGGAGGGTTCGGAACCGGTCCCGGCTTCTCTCTGAGAAACCTCTACAGGGCACGGAGAAGCGGCGGTCTCATCTGCCCGGCTGCCCCTCGGGCCGGGGTACCGCCGCGCAGCCACCGGGAAGCCGCGCCCCACGCGCCTCGCCTCCCGGGAGCAGGAGGACAATTACTAATTACCGCCGCGCGCAGCGCGCCGCCGCGAACCACCGCCTCCGCCGGCCATGACTCCAGGGCATGCGCAGTGCGACCCGGAACCCCGTCCCGGTCAGGCGGATCCGCGTGTCCGCCTGTTCGCCGGCGCCACGGGGCTCGCAGGAGCGGGAGGGGCAGAGGCGCAGTCAGAGTGGGCTGTGAGCGCCGACACCAGCTAGCTGGGGGCCCTTTTTAAGAGCCCCACCGCGGCCCTGCGCCTCTCTGAGGCCGGAGACTCGCTCTCCAGGCCGCCCGGCCAGCCCCATCTGCTGCTGGGACGCTGGCCCGTGAGGGGCAGCGGTACGTTCCTGACAAGCACACGAGCCCCGGGTCTTTGTGGAAAGTCCTGAGCCACTCCAGTAGGGCCTTCGTTCCTGGGACGGAGGCTGTGCTTCTGCACTGGGCCACGATCCAGAAGAGAGCTGGTAGCTGGGCTCAGACACTGAGGACCACTCGCGGCAGGAGAGGGGGCGGGCCCGGCGAGGCGGGGGCGTAGCCGCCTCCGCCCCGCCCTCGGCCGCCTCCGCCCCGCCCTCGGCCGCCTCTGAAACGCGGTGCGGATAACGCCAGCGGGAGAGGCGACCGCGCGAGTAGTTCCGCTCCGAGGGCGGAAGTGCGCGCCCAGGTCTCGGCCTTGGCCCAGCCAGCAGCATGGTTGCGCCGGTGCTGGAGATAACTCACGTGTTTTGCTGCCCAAACCGGGTGCGGGGCGCTCTGAGCTGGAGCTCCAGGCCCGGGGGACTTTTGGCCTTCGGCACGTCCTGTTCCGTGGTGCTGTATGACCCTCAGGTAGGAGAAGTGGCCGGACGCCCGTTTCCATGTTCTTCGGGGGTTCCAATCCTCTGCGTGCGCTCGGGGCGGACTGTGGACGCTCTTGCGGAGCGGCGGGGAGGGTATGTGGGTGAGGAGTCTCCCATGGACGCGCTGGACTCACTCCTCGTCCTCTCGCACGCCGCGACAGCCTGGGATCACCAGGTCCTGCCAGTGGCCTGTTAGCCCCACGTAACCCCACCTGAAAGACCACCTTTTCTGAAGCCTTCCGTGGGGACTGTCATACTGTTAACTAGTTTGGGTTTTAAAGGATTTGCAATTTAGGTATGGATGAAAGCCATAATCACAGGTGCTCATTTCTGTATTTTCCTTCAGACTTATTTAATAAGCTTGTATTGAGTTTCAAAGAAATATCACTTTTATTTTGGCTTTGGGAGTAGACATTTTAAAGAAGGCGCTGTTGGAGTAAAGGTCAAAGGGATTAGGGACCTAAGCAGTAGTTATAAAGCAGGACTTACACATTCCCTGAATTTCACCCAGTCAGTTGATTATTCTCTTAGTGCGTTACCTACCTAACTTTTAAAGTGCCTAGTTTTTGCATTCTTTTTTTTTTTTTTAAGATTTTATTTATTTATTTGACAGACACAGCAAGAGAGGGAATACAAGCAGTGGGAGGGGGAGAGGGAGAAGCAGGCTTCCCGCAGAGCAGGGAGCCCGATGCGGGGCTCGATCCCAGGACCTGGAATCATGACCTGAGCCGAAGGCAGACGCCTAACGACTGAGCCACCCAGGCGCCCCGATATTCAGCAAATTTTTGAGGACCCTCTATGGATTAGCCTTGGACTGGGTGGTGATGACCCAGAGATAATGGGTAATAATTCTTCACCATCAAGGAATTCTTAATCTAGTGAGAGAGACAGGGAAATTTGATTAAGTTGTTCCACAACTTCAAATAACATGTGTGAAATATACTAGTTTTTTAACATTTACTTTGCATACTTTTTTCTCGTCATGAGAATTTCACTTGGCATATAAGCAAACAGGAAGTTGGTGCTATTGGCAGTAGAGAAAGGGGCTCTGAAGAGGCAGGCACTGTAGCCAGAGAATTAATATCGTCACCAGTGTGGGAAGTAAAGAAAGCCCAAGTGTGGAGGGATTTTGCTGAAAGCAATAGTCTCAGAAGCTGCTGGGAATTGGCTATAGGCCCTGAAAGGATCTGCTATTTGAGGGAGGAAGTAGTTGTGGCTTGGTAACTTTGTATCATTAAGGTTGAAGGACCCAACACCTGATCAACCATGGTATGCAAAGTTGAGTCATGAATTTGAATCCAGTAATTGTGAATTCCTCTATTGAGGAATTTTTGCTCAGTAAAGCCCTCAGATTGGTGTAAACTTGGTGGAAGTAGGCCCTGAGACCTGTGGGCGCACAAGGAAGAGTTACCTTGTCTAGCCTGGGGTGTCAAGACAGGCTCTCCAGTAGAGAAGGATGGAGGTGATTAGTAGGAGCCAGCAGATGAAGATCGGAGAGCTCAGTGTGCTGAGAGCACAGGACATAGGAATTGTGGAGTGGTGGAAAAACGCAGACACACATTAGAGTGAATGGATGGTTTAAAGTTTATGAATTAAGAGAGGTGATTTGGTGTGAAGTAATCCTGAACTTTATTGGCATCAAAACCACTGATAACTGACTTCTATTAATTTATTAATTCCTCTGTAGGATAAATTGTAATTTACTAACTGGTGTTTTCTTCTGTAAAGAAAAGAGTTGTTATTACCAACCTGAATGGTCACACTGCTCGAGTCAATTGCGTACAGTGGATTTGTAACCAAGATGGTTGTAAGTATTAATCTAGTTGTTAAAGCTGATCTCAATTGTTTTCTGATAAAGTATTATTAGTCATTTTTCTTTTATCAGTTGTGTTAATTTAACATTAGCTTATCTGATACTATGCAGTTGGAAAACAAGAAAAACAGGATGCCTAGTGAAATATCTGAGCTGTACTCCATAGAACTACACCATGGATAACATAGCAGTGCCTAGGATGAGGGTAGATACAGCCCCTGACTCTGGCTAGACCCTCTCCATTGTCCACAGTTTTTGACTGAAAGCCTGTAAGCAGGGCCGGTGCTGGGGTGCAGGCTGGGATTCGGAGGATTTGGCTTGAGATTTGTTTCTGCCACAGACAAGCTATTGCGTTTTTAGGCAGGACATTGCATCTCTGTTAACACCTGAAAAGTAAATGCTTGAACTTGGTCGGGTGACCTTAGAGGTTCACAACACCTGTGAGGTCAAAATTATTTTCAGAATAATACAAGAAGTTATTCACAGTTTTCATTCTCATCCTGTCTCACGTACACAGTGGCATACTGCAACAGATTCAGTACAGAAGCAGATACAAAAATCCAGTTGTATTCTAATAAAGTCACATGTTAAAGAGATTGGCAGAAATGTAAAACAGTGCCTCTCTTCTCATTAATTTTTTGTTTTGGAAAATATAGGGATTTCCCCTCCAGCCCCCCACAAATGTTATTTATGTTAACGTGTGATGGGGTTCGTCATCATTTTTGAGTAAACTAATAAAAAAGTATTTTTCAAATTTCTGGTTTAATTTCTAATGTGGTTGATATTGGTACACATAGTCCATATAAACAAAAGCTTTTGGGGTTCTCAAAAAATTTTAAGAGTGTAAAGGAATCCTGATACCAAAAAAATTGAGGATTACTGGACTAGATTATCTCCAGGTCTCTTTTATCTCTAAGATTCTCTGAGTCAAGAACTTTTAATTAACATATTGCTTTTAGATGGTGCTTCTGAAATCCTGTGGAATTTCCTCAGATGTCTTATATATACCTACTGTGGTATTCTTATGGACTCTGAATTAATTTTATTTTCCTTTCCATAAACATTTATTGAGAGCATTCTGAGCCATGAGCAAATGCAGAATTTTCTGAACGAGTAAGACTTTGCCATGACTTTATCTCTGACATTAAAAAAAAGTTTAATAAGCTACTTATTTCATTTCGTAGTGCAGGATTAGTCATGTTAGGTCAGTAAAAATAGTAGAAAGAGTGGCTGTTGGTGCAGATATTAAAGCACAATTGTAATTATATTAATTGCCACCAAGTGACATCAAAGACTACTTGAATTTCTATATAGGGATTTATTATAGAATATTAATTTGGGCTAGTATATTTTATCTTCCCTTTAAAAGTGAGGTTACATGAAATGAATTGCTTGTGTTTCACTGTAATCTATAACTATTAGGTTTGGTTTCCTCTAAGATTAGGGCTCTATCACCAGATAATTAAGATGTTTTTTCTTAACCCAGGTATCAGTGAACATAACATTTTAATAATACCATTTCATATTTTCAGGGATGCCAGGCTGGCTCAGTCAGTAGAGTATGTGACTCTTGGTCCCAGGGTCATGAGTTCAAGCCCCATGTTGGATGTGGAGCCTACTTAAAAAGATTAAAAAAATACTACTTCATATTTTAAAATTTAACACATTATTTTTATGTTCCTTATAGTAATTTCCAAAGTCATGTAGTTAAATGGCTTAATTTCTGTGATGTATGAAGTAATTAAAGCCTAATATCACAGCTGGCTGGCACTAGGGTTAGGACATGAACCTGGGACTTCTGACTACAAGTCTAATGTCCTTTAGACAATTCCCCACCACTTCCCCTAAGTATCTAGCACATAAGCCAGAAGAAACGAACAAGTGGAAAATCCAAACTAAAGTGATATTTGATTATTTCCACCCCGCTTTTGGTTGTTAATCCTTTTGTTATCAACAAGAAGTTGTAAATGGTTAAAAAAAACTACTTTGAAATATTTGTCTTATTTTAAAAATATGTCATATACTTGATAACAGCAGCTGACTATAATATCTCATATATGTTATTCCTACCAAAAGTGTTTAGCCTGAATCTTACATGAGGAAACAACCAGATATATCCAGATTAGGAACATTCTGCAAAACAATTGTCTGGGACTCTGATTGTCACAAAAAAGGGGGACTGGGAAACTATTCTAGATTAAAGGAGACTAAAAAGATATGACAACTAAATATGCAATGTGTGGTCCTTAGATTCAAAATTTTAAAAAGGTATAAAAGACATTACTGGGACAATTTGGGGCAGTTTTAATATGGACTATATGTTACATTAATGATGCTGTGTCAACAATTAAAATTGTTGAATACAATAATTGTATTGTGGTGTTGGGGAATGTTCCAGTTCTTAGGAGATATATGAAAAAGTGTTTTAACAGTCAGAGGTCCTGATATCTGCAACTTATTTTTAAATGGTTTGCCATAAACAAAGAGGTCTATGCATATACATATATAGAGAAAGTGAGATGTTAAGCAAATGTGGTAGAATGTTAACAGTTGGTGAGTCTAGGTAAGGGGTATATGAGTTTTCTTATATCTTTTCTATAGCTTTGAAAGTTCTCAAAATAGCTGGGAAAAAATAAAAATATTTATGGAAATATAATTTTTTCCAGCTTCTTCTACCGAATTAGTTTCTGGAGGATCTGATAATCAAGTGATTCACTGGGAAATAGAGAATAATCAGGTGGGTAAACATGTTTATAGTTATAAGAAATAACTTATGTCTGCTTTTATTTTCAGCTCTTTTTTTCATATCTGCTGTGTTCTTTTATGAAGTTGCTTCATTCTTATCAGTAATCCAGATC